ATTGGCTGGTGCTCTACCAATGAAACTGGGCCTCCAACCTCATTTAAAGGATTGGTTATTTTTTAAAAAAATTTTATTACTCTTGTAAGTGAAATAACTTGAAATTTTCAGCTTCTAAATGGTGTTGTTAGATATGTGTACTTTGTGTACACATATTTAAATCTTCTTTCTCATATACACTTACGTGTATGGATTTTTTTTAGAAGGGTCATCTAGCTTTATTCTTTTTTTTTTTTTTACAGACAAGAATCTATTATTTTTTAAGTGATTTTTTTTTTTATTGTGAAAATACCATACAGAGGGGTTACAATTACACGAGCAAGGTAATGAGTATATTATCAACTTGCCTCCTCCTTTGTTTCCCCTTACCATCCCTTCCCATTCCCTTCCCCTCTCCCCGCCCCGCCCCGCCCCGGTAGCTCCCTCCCCCAACCCAGCACCAAAGTTGTAAAGTTCATCTTTCTGTTTTTTTTTTTTTTTTTTTTTTTTGGGGGGGGGGTCCGGTTGTGGGGCCTGAACTCTGGGCCTGTCCTCAGCTCTTCAGCTCAAGGCTAGCGCTCTACCACTTGAGCCACAGCGCCACTTCCGGCTTTTTTCTTTTTGCTTATGTGGTGCTGAGGAATCGAACCTAGGGCCTCATGCATGCAAGGCAAGCACTCTGCCACTGAGCCCCCTTCCCAGCCCCTAAAGTTCATTTTTCAACATAACATCTTGTACATCTCATTGTTGCAATGGGTCCACCTGTATCCCTATTTAAACAATTGTTTTTTTTTTCTCTTCCCCTCCACAAATTATACCAACATCAAATACAGTGAAAACAGGGGTTATACCATGGGGGAGAACTGTGTGGATTTTAACCTGTCTGTGTTCATAGGTAAGATAAGAATGGACATAGTCTCAAAGACAGGGAGCTATTGCTCACGCCTGTAATCCTATCTACTCAGGAGGCTGAGATCTGAGAATCACAGTTCAAAGTTAGCTCAGGCAAGAAAGTCTGTGAGACTCTTATCTCCAGTTAACCACCAGAAAACCGGAAGTGGAGCTGTGGCTCTAAGTAGTACAGCGCTAGCCTTGAGTGAAAGAGCTCAGGGACAGTTCCAGGCCCTGGGTTCAAGCCCACGACTGACCACCCCCCTCCCCCCCCCCCCCCAAAAAAAAATCTCATCAAAGACTTTTCATGCCAGGGCTGGCTTTGAACTATCCTCAGATCTCAGACTCCAGAGTAGCTAGGATTACAAATGTGAGCCACCGTCACCCAGCAATTCATTTCATTGTTATCTTTTACTTCAAAGAGTTCATTTGTGACTGAGGCATTATTTGAAATTCGTTGTTTAATTTCTAGAAAATGCAAGATCTAGTTCTCATCATGAACCTTCCTTCTTTCCTCCCCTCCCTTCCCCTCCCCCCTCCCCTCCCCTCCCCTCTTTGGTTGGCTGTGGGGCTTGAACTCTGGGCCTGGGCTCTGTCCCTCAGCTCTTCAGCTCAAGGCTAGCTCTCTACCACTTGAGCCACAGCACCACTTCCGACTTTTTCTGCTTATGTGGTGCTGCAAGGCAAATACTCTACCACTGAGCCACCTACCTAGCCCCTAATTTTAGTTTTTTGATATCTATCTATCTAATCTATCTATCTATCTATCTATCTATCTATCTATCTATCTATCTATCTATCTATCTATCTATCTATCTATCTATCTATCTATCTATCTATCTATCTATCTATCTATCTATCTATCTATCATCTATCTATGCTAGTCCTGGGGCTTAAACTTAGGGCCTGAGGACTGTCCCTGAGCCACAGTGACACTTCTGGCTTTTTCTCTTTAAGTGTACGGAGGAATGGAACCCAGGGCTTCATGCATGCTAAGCAAGCACTCTACCACTAAGCTACATTCCCAGCCCTGAATCTACTCTTATACCTAGCATCTAGCCAACTTTAGCAAATATTTGATGTGTACTGGTAGAAATTACGTATTCTGTTGGGCATAATGTCACTTTCAGTTAGGCCAAGTTGGCTAAGCTCTGTGGTTAATTCTTAATGGTGGAATTGCCGAGTAATAAAGATAAAAAGCACATGTCGTTTTGTTAGGTATTACTAAGTTCCTCTCAAAAATCACCCCAGGGGCTGGGAAGGTGGCTCAGTGGTAGAGCGCTTGCCTTGCATGCTCAAGGCCCTGGGTTCCATTCCTCAGCACCACATAAGCAAAAAGAAAAAAGCCAGAAGTGGCGCTGTGGCTCAAGTGGTAGAGCACTAGCCTTGAGCTGAAGAGCTGAGGGACAGCGCCCAGGCCCAGAGTTCAGGCCCCATGACCGGACCTCCTCCCCCCGCCAAAAAAAATCACACCAATTTGCATTCCTACCAGCAACATACCTTATAACTTGTTTTCTTGCACCCTTTGTTTTTCTGTTTATTCTTTATTTTTGTTTTTAAAATAATTCAACAGATTTTTATGCTTGTACTTTTAGTTAAAATCTCATGATATAAATTTGTCATTTTCACCAATTCAGAGTGTAAATTGAAGGCTATTTAGTATATTAATAATGTTATGTAACCATATCCATTGTCTAATTCCAGAACATTTCTACTCTTCCCAGAGAAGTTCCTTACCTACCCCCAGTCATTCCCAACTCTTGTCTTCCTAGCTTCTGGTAGCTAGTGATTTTCTTTCTGTTTTTATAAACTGGCTTCTTTTGGACTGTGATAGAATTGTAGTCATAAATACAATTTGTGGATTTCCACGCCTGGCTTCCCTCTGGGTAACTACCCCCTTGGTTCCTGAGGTAACTTGTGCTGGCACTTCAGTCCTCTTTTGTGTGTATGTGCACTCATTCTAGAGCTTGAGTGCAGGGCCTAGGCACTGTCCCTCAAAGTTAGTACTCTACCACTTGGGCCAAGGCACCACTCCTGGCTTTTTCTGAGGAGTTTATTGGCGATGAGAGTCTCACAGCCTTTCCTGCCTAGGCTGGCCTTGAGCCAGATGTCAGCCTTCTGAGTAGCTAGGATTGCAGGTATGAGCCAACACAACCCAGCTTCCCCTCAGTATTTGCAATGTTTCAGGGTTGGATTTGTTTATCTGGTTCATCTAGTGATCACATTTGTTTATCTAGTTTATCGCTTTTATTTATCTAGTTCATCTAGTGATGGCCGTTTAGATTGTTTTTACTTTATAGATGTCTTGAATATGTTGCTGGGAACATTCACATACAGGTACACTGTAGATGTACACTGTGTAGTGGAAGTGTTAGCCATGTGATAGATGTTGACCTGTTGAGTGGCCTCCAACATATTAGATCTTTTTATCCCTTAAGACAAAGGTTTAATTTGGGACAGAGGCTCATCTAAGCCCACATTTGGCCTTCCTAATCCAGTTTTCTACCTATTGTGTTATGGCTGTTTTTACCTCTTAGTTTTGCTCCACCAGTGTTGTCTACTTATGTTTAATTTTTATTACATTTTAAAGAATTTCCAAATGCATTAAGGATATTCCCCCCCCCCCCCCAGCCATACATATACATGGTATATGTAATGGCATATGTATTTTTCTGATTTTTTTTTTTTCTGGACAGGTCTTTGAGGGTTGTTTTTGTCCTCTTCTCCCCCCCGCCCCCAATTTTCATAACTATTTTGTTTTTACTAAAAGGAAATATTTTGGGGTTGGTGCCATCTTTCTTTGCTAAAGTAGATCAGATGGGGCCCGGCTACAATCCAGCACTTGATGGGTCTAGCAGAGGCCAGCCAGGCTCCAGGCACAAAGGGCCCTGCTCTGTTCTAGGTGTTCTTCATGCAAACTTTGAAGTCCTGAAGGCTGATTCCTGTCTCCTGAGCCCCTCTTCTGCCCTTTCCTATATTGTTCCTTCCTGACAAAACTGCTGGTGGCTGTGTGTTGTACCTTTTCTTGACTCTTTTTTTTCTGCCTCTGAGCACAGGAGAGGCCGCTCTTAGGTACCTTATAACATTGTTTGGAGTTTTGGCTTTTTCTCTCTGAGTTTTAGTCTTACCATGCTGTTTCTCATCAGGCTTGGATAAATGCAGTTGTTTGTGCTTTTTTTTATTTTTTTTTCAGTTTTTTTTTTTTTTTTTTTGTCTTGATTTTCTTGTTAAACACTGATTTGACTGAGTGGGAGGACTTTGTTTTGATTATAATATTTTTGTTTTTGCAGTACTAGGGATTTGAACCCAGGCCCTTGAGCTCCCTAAGCATTTGATACTGCTGAGCAATGCACTCAGCCTTATGTTGCACTTGATATTTTTAGGATAAGGTCTCATTTCCTGCCCAGGCAGATAGATGCTAGGGCTAAGATCCTACTTTTAGGCTTCTGTATTGGTGTTATCCCAAACAGGCATCCTTTACTGCATGTAACTTCCCTCTGTGGAGAGAGGGAGACTGTGGACTTCAACCTTTTGAAGAAATGATATCTTAAAGCAGCAAATTAACAAATTGGGCTCTACGGTGAAGTTTTTCCAAAGAAGTAAAGACTATGGATAAAAATTAGGAGGGATAGCCGGGCATTGGTAGCTCACGCCTGTAATCCTAGCTACTCAGGAGGCTGAGATTTGAGGATCCTGGTTCAAAGCCAGCCAGGGCAGGAAACTCTGTGAAACTCTTATCTCCAATAAACCACTCAGAAAATCAGCAGTGGCTCTATGACTCAAGTGGTAGAGCACTAGCTTTGAGCTGAAGAGCTGAGGGACAGCATCCAGGCCCAGAGTTCAAGCCCTAGGACCTACAAAAAAAAAGAGGAGGGATGTTAAAGTCACATTTTTTGTAAATAATACAGTGAATTTTGACATAGTATAGGAGTCCTGGTGTTTTAACAAATTATTTAACAGACGTTTATTATCAGGTACTGAGTTGAAGAGACATAATGATTATATATTTCACACTACTTATACATATGATGTGTGTGGACAGAGAAAACTTGGTAACAAAAATATTAGCATCATATTAGGATTATAAGTTTCAAATATTGTACAGTAAAAATCTTTTTTTCTCTTAACAGAATATGACAGATACCTAGCATCTAGCAAAAGAATGGCAGCTGCTTACCTTGACCCAAACTTGAATCATACACCAAGTTCAAGTACTAAGACTCACCTGGGTACTGGTATGGAACGTTCTCCTGGTGCGATGGAGCGAGTATTAAAGGTCTTTCATTATTTTGAAAGCAATAGTGAGCCAACCACCTGGGCCAGTATTATTAGACATGGAGATGCAACTGATGTGAGGGTGAGTACTACTTCTCGTGCGGCGCCTTTGATGTGCATTTACTTGGTGACATTTTAATGGCACATCCAAGATTAAGATAAGTAGTGTTTATTTAACTTACTGAGAACCATCCACAGTACAGGGATACCAGCTTTTTCTTTATAGAATTTATTTAATATGCCTGAGGGGCTGGGATATAGTTTAGTAGTAGAGTACTTGCCTAGCTTGTAGGAAGACCTACAAGCTAGGGACTCTAGCCCTAGCATTTGAGGGGGAAAACATTGCTAACATGTGATACACCAGAAAATAATAACTGAATTACATTTTAGTCATATAATGCCATTACTTTTCCTTCCTTCCATCTATCCATCTTTCCTTCAAGTAATAAAATAGCTATTAATAGAAAATAAGAAAATAGTTTTCTAGAAGGTATAATTTTAGAGGGGTTTGCATACCTCCTGATAGAAGCTTTTTGTACATATGCTGATCCTGGGGCTTGAACTCAGTGTCTGAGCAATGTCCCTATGCTATTTTTGTTCAAGGCTGGTATTTCTACTACTTAAGCCACAGCTTCATTTCTGGCTTTTTGGCCTTAACTGGATTTGAGAGTCTCATGCACTTTTCTGCTTGGGTTGGCTTCTCAGCTTGATCCTCAGATTTCAGCCTCCTGGGTAGGTTTGGTTACAGGCATGAGCCACCAGGCAGGATGCTTTTTGTTTTTAAAGAAATGATTGAATGTATAATATATGCCAGACACTAGGTAAGCTGTGGGAACATGGAAGGTCTGTCTGAATTAGCTTTTGGTCACCTCAAATTCCTGAGGCAATTAGCTTATTAAAAGAAAAGGTTTGCAGGGTGCAAGTGATTCATGGCTCTAGTCCTCGCTACTTGGGAGTCAAAGCCAGCCCAGGCAGAAAAGTCTCCACGAGACTCTTATCTCCAATTAACCACTCAAATACTGGAAGTGATGCTGTGGCTGAAAGTAATAAGTGCTAGCCTTGAGCAAAAGAGCTCGGGGATAGCACCCAGACCCAAGTTCAAGTCCTATAACCGACAAAAAAAAATGTTTATTTTGGTTTATGGATTTTGGGCTTTCCAATCCTTTATAGAATGGCCCCACTGCTTTGAGCCTCTAGGGAGAGATCGAGGAGATCATCCTGGCTCAGAGCCAGGAAGCAGATAGAGAAGACTGAGATCTTACAATCCTTTTTCAGAGGCATAGGTCCTTAGGTTAACTGCTATCACTAGGCCCTGCCTCATAAAAGCTTCCATAAAAGCTTTCAAGAACATCACCTGGGATTCAAATGGACCTTCGGGGGACTTCAACATCCAAACCATAGTAAAGTCCCATTAAAGCCTAGAGACAGTCATGCTTGTAATGACAGCCCAGTGTGGAATACTTCACTGGAGATTGACCCAGTTGCTGGGAATCCTGAAGGCAAAGCACCTAAATGGAGAAGTTGGCACCTGTCCTTGGTTTTGGGAGGGGGAATGAAAGCCAGTGATAGAGACATAGGGAGAGGAGCAGGAAAAGGTGACCTGTGTTTTCTAAAGTCAGGCATGAGCAGGTAGCACTGGGACCTCAGAAAACTGAGCTTGGTGTATATCTCAGGGGACCTCTTGCTTTAGGGAAGCGTTGAAGGACCTCTTTCTGGAAATAGACTGCTGGAGGGTCACTTAGAAAGGTTGACTACAAGTATTCTACTATAATATTAATTAGAGAATCCATAATGAAGAACTGTTAGGGGCTTCTAGAGAATGTTCTAATCTATAAAGATCTACTACCTTGAAGGAAGAAACCCATTCAAACACCTTGCTTCAACTTTGGAAAACATTGAACAAGCTGTATAGGAGAGAAACCTTTAAAATATTATGAAGTTGACAAGTAGTAATTGTTCTAGACTTTGTGTATCAGGTAGTTTACTGTGCCACAGTTTCAGTTCAGACTTTGTACACCTGAGAGGCCTGTTGTGGAGTCGGGGAGGAGGTTACTGAGTTCTACCTTCATCAGCCTTCATCAGATGCAGAGACATAGGTTATTTGAACACAAGTATTAAACTTTTGTAAAGGCAGCATAGAAAATGTTTGTGGTCAAAAGTCAAATTTTTTATTTCATAGTAACTAATAAGTGTTTGCAATTTAATATTCCTATTAGTTGATTTTCATCCTAAAGCAGAAAAATAAAACAGTCACTGTGTTACTGTGATGGAAGATTGAGTGTTACTCAGAATCTACTCCCATTAAGTGCTTCCATGCTGTGGCATTGTAAAATATGGGTGTGTGTGTGTGTGTGTGTGTGTGTGTGTGTGTGTGTCAGAGAGAGAGACAGACACACAGAGTTGTGTGTCTGGACTTGAACTTAGGGCCTAGTTTTTTTGCACTTTACCACTTGAGCCACAAAGCTCCACTTCTGGATTTTTATTGCTCAATTGGAGATAAGAGACTCATGTATTTCGCTGCCTGTCCTGGCTTTGGTCCATGATCCTTAGATCTCAGCCTCCTAAGAGACTAGCATTACAAGTAATGCAATATTTTGTACTCGTGAACAATAGCACTAAAGGACATGTTCAAGACATCTTTCTTTCAAAGAATTTCTCACAGGAAGTGTGAGGGCACAGTTAGGAAGGTGTGAAGATTAAGAAATGGGAAGCCTTGAAGATGGGTGAATCTAGGACAGAAAGGTAAATTAGTGTAGTCTTTCTGCAGAAGGAAATGGGAAAGCTATCCCAGCCACTTCTGAAACAGTATCAAAGTTACTGAGTTAGTAACTACAGCTACAACCTGTCCTATAAGCCTTGTGGGTTTTGAGAACATGAATGTCTCATGTGAATTGACATGAGCCAAAAAAAATAAAAACATACTTTCAAAGATAGTATAAGAAAGGAGTGCAACATATTCCATCAATTTCCTAGGATTACTGGTGGAAAAGATAGTACTTTTGGTATATACTTGGCTAAACAGTAAGCATTAAATTAACATCTTTCTTACTACTGTTAATGTAACTGCTAGTTTTAGTATTATGTGGCTGTTTTAGTATTATATGGCTTTCATTATATATATTTATATTCTTTTGGTCCAAAACTGGGACTTGAATTCAGTACTTGTCACTTTTGCTCATTGGCTAGCGCTTTACCAACTGAGCCATGCCTCCAACTTCTAGAATTACATTTTTACTAGACAGTTGTGCTCTATAGACATAGTAGGTATCAGAAGACCAAAACCTTTTGAAGGAGTTGAAATTTTTTCTCAATGAAAATATCATTTCATTATAGAAATTTTGTTTCTCGTACTTTAATTTTACTATTAAAAAAACATGCCAGTTAATTTGATTGCTGAAAGGATTCATAGGACCTCACAGTTTATACATTAAGTTTCCAGTACCTTAGCAGTGCAGTAATACTCATTTCAGCGTCTGGAGTTAGCAGGGGCAGGTTTTTAGGCCTTAGGTATACTTTTCCCCCAGATTGAAGACCTTCTCTATCTTCCAGTACAACCCCTCAGTCTGAGGAAGCCTCCTGCTTCCTCATGTTGGCATCTATGAAATGGTGTGACATGGGTGCTTTCCGTTTGCACAGAGAGCCTCACCTGTATAATTGGTTTCCCAAGCACCACCAAAATTGGGGAATAGTTTGTGCATCCAACCATGATTACTAAGAAGTGCTGTCAGGCTGCTGTAGTTTGTCCTTCAACTGCTCAGGCACTTGTGCTTGCAAACTGCACTCAGCTTGGTCATAGCTGTGGTCAGTATAGAATAGCCAGATTAACCCGGTTTGCTCAGTATTAGAAGTGGGCATCCAGAAACATTGCAGAAATACTTCAGAACCATCGTCACATAGGGGAGATTCCAAATGCTTCTCCAGGAAGAAACCCCTATTGGGGAGAAAGAATGTCATTAATCCCAGATTTTTTTTTTTTGAACTCTGGGCCTGGGCACTGTCCCTCAGCTCTTCAGCTCAAGGCTAGTGCCCTACCACTTGAGCCATAGCGCCACTTCCTGCTTTTTTTTCTCCCTGCTCATGTGATATTGAGGAATCGAACCCAGGGCCTCATGCTTGCGAGGCAAACACTCTACCACTGAGCCAACTTCCCAGCCCCTAATTCTTATTTTTTTCCTCCCTTATACAATCAGTGATCTTTGATGCTATTATTGGAAGTTTTTGCCCAGGATAGCCTGGATTGTGATTTTTCTATATATACCTTCCAGGTTGACAGGTATAAAACAGCACCCCACTCCTACCCTTACCTTCTTTGTTTTTTTTTGGGGGGGGGGGGGGAAATTGGTCGTGGAGCTTGAACTCAGCCTGGGCGCTGTCCTTGAGCTTTTCAGCTCAAGGCTAGTGCTCTACCACTTGAGCCATAGCACCACTTCCAGTTTTCTGAGTGCTTTATTGGAGATAAGAGTCTCATGGCCTTTTCTGCCCCGGCTGGCTTTGAATCATGATCCTCAGATCTCAGCCTCAGCTAGGATTACAGGTGTGAGCCACCAGCACCCGGCCTCACTTTATTTCTTGAGATAGGGTTTTGCTAACTTTTTGCCCAGAATTGTTACAAAGTAAGATCCTCCTGACCTCTACCTCCTGAGTAGCTGGAATTATAGGAATGAGCTACCATGCCATCTAGGACTTTCGTAGCTGAAGAGAGAAAATGATGCTTTAAATGGCTTTAAAGAGCAAACTGACTCGGATTAGAAGTTAATTGAAGCTACCATTCTTAAAATTCTAGGGCCCTTAAGAATTATTCTAAATTGACTGCTTTTCAAATGAAATTACAAAATCTGAATGATAGCGTATTTGTTTGTAACATGGTTTACTGAATATTTCAAATCCATCTTGAGACCTACTGTGCATAGGAAGTGATTCCTTTTAAAATGTATCCACTTACTGACAATGTACTTGGTCACCCAAGAGCTCTTAGGGCGATGCTTGAATGATAATGATTTGTGCTGCAAGCACAATGTGCACTCTCTAGCTCAGGAATCATTTTGACTTGCATGTCTTAAATCATTTACCAATCTACTTTGT